TCCTTCAGGCTTTGCGTCGAAGACATGTGAGTCAACGTCAACATGACTTAAGCGAGACTCGAAATGTACGTGTACCTTCAGAAACGGTTAGGCACATCTTAAGACACTCTGGAATTAGGGCCAGAGTAGCTGTCACTGCCCCGATACTTACAAGGGAACACTTTACTGATGAGTCAACATTTTGTTTATACACTTCGCATCGAAGAATACCAGTTTATAGACGAGATCGCGAGCGTTATTTTTAACGCAACCTAAGAATGGTGACACTTTGGAGGAGTATCTATTATGCTCTGGGGCAGAATATCTCTTAGGTAAAAAATTGTTTAAAATCCTTTATAAAAGGTATATAAAAAATGCCCCAAACGGGCTATCACAAACACATTGCAGAACGTTTTCGGATTGATAAATCCATCATCAGTGTAAACCTGAAAGTATTAACCACTTTAATTAAAAAGAACGTTAAATTAAAATGTTGACAAAGGTTAGAACAAAATGTGGTTAATACTTACAGTCAAAACCCTTTAAATGTTTTAAATTTGTAGTTGTTTTACATTATTAATAGTTACAATTTGTGATGTTTAAGTTACCGTTAGATAGGTAACATGGCGGCGTATGACTCTACATAAGTAAAATGGTCCTGAGACGAAGTGTCTACGAGGACCTGTTGATAATAACTGATCAAAATGACATTGTTGACATGTTAGGACGGATGTTGTGTCAGAGCAGTCAGTGTAACTTACGGTAGTTGTCTAAAAATGACAGATGTCAGCCTTATTTAAAATTGAAAAATGTTAAAATTATAATAATGTAACAGTATCAACCATCAATATTGTAATCTGTATTGTAAATTAATCAAATAGCTATATTTGAAACATTGAAAATTGGTCTTTTAAAAATTAATGTGGGTCAACTGGAATTTATGAAATTTTGTAGGATTGATAGGCAACCAACTATACATGTGTAAGGATCTATTTATTTTAAGCTAAAGATTTTGTCAAAAGGCCCTGTGTATTGTGAGACATTTGGTACATAGAAAATGGTAAAACGGCATATGTGGGAAGATGGGTCCTAAAAGATTTATTATTGAGTATTGATGTAGTAGGTGGAGGTGTGTTTAGATATGTTGTTGAGCTGAAATGTAAATATGATAAGAATGTGATTGTAATGTGGTGTTCGTGTAGTACTCAACTTAAAACTTAAGTATGGAAGGCCCTCTATGTCAAAAAACTACATTTGGTACCTAGTAAAGATAAATAAAATTTTTTTAAGTTATAAGTACATGAACATGAATTACTGGTTATGTGTGTAAAGTAAAGATGGTAGGTTGTTTATGTGTGTGGGCAAGTATGCCAGACTAACAGAAAATTGATGGCTAAAAGATGGTTAGGTGTGAGATTGTTCCTACATTGCTCAAGTTATAACTCAAGAAAACAAAAGGCCCTATATGTTAAAAGGAACATTTGGTGCCTAAGAAATATAAAAGTAAAAAGGGATGAGTTATAAGTTACAGTGTAGGTAGGTGTAAAGTTAATAGGCTTATGGAGTGTATTGTGACAATATGTGAAACTGTAAGAGTAGTTGTGTTTAAAGGGGATCTATCAAGTTTACTAAAGATGTGTGATGTTTAAATGTTATTGTGAACATGAAGGGGAGAACTACAATTTTTTGTGATATATGGTATACAGCCATCTACAGGAACTTAGTTTCCTAGTGGAATCTCTTAGGTGTCAAACCGAATTGGTACAGCTAGATGGAGGATCCTTAACTGCTGATGGGTACATTAGAGAAATTTTGGAGATGCATGTTGTTCCTTACGCCCAATTTATTGGTAATGACTTTGTTTTAATGCATGACAATACACGCGCAAGAATCGTTACCGAGTACCTTCAAGAGGTAAATTTACAAGTTTTGAAATGGTCAGCGTACAGCCCTGACTTAAATCCAATAGAACATGTTTGGGATCATCTTTACAGATGGGTGAGATCTGGTAATGTGACGCCAGCTAATCTTCAAGACCTGCAACGTATGTTAACCGTAGAATATGATATTATCGATCGAAATTATCTAATAAGATTAATTGGAAGTATGCCAAAACGTTGTCTAGATATTGTAAGAGCTACAGGAGGCAATACGTCTTACTAAATTATCATTACATTTGATTTTTATTTTTTTTTATTCAATGCTGTTTGTGCGCTTACTTGTAATTTATGAAATAAAACCTTTTGTTTTTCATGCATTCTGCATTTTTCTTTTAATACTTGTTAACGTACTTAAAAAACAACAAAAAAAAACAATAGTAAAAAATTCATGTTTTAAATTATTTTTAATACAAAATTTGCGGTTTTATAGGTGATGCGATACTTTTTCGCGGAGTGTATATAGAAATAGAGTAACATTATAGTGTTTTAATAAATTTTCATCTTAGTTAATTTTTTAAAGTATTTACACCTCTTTGGATGTTATAAATATAAATACACTTGGGGTGGACTTATTGAAAAGTAACTCATGTATGTATATATTACAGTCTTTCAATGAAATATTCTGTACCACATTTTTTATGTTAACATATGTTTATTATTTGAAATAATGATTTATTTTTTTATTACATGACATAGTTGTGTATAGATAGTTCCAAATAAGGTAACATACTGTAAAAAAGACGTCTATTAATCTATGGACATTGCAGTTATTTCCAGTTTTGTGCTTAGGGAATTTACAAAGCAATTGTGTCACGTCAAAAATGGAAATCGAAACGTCAAATAAACTTATATGGCTTATTTCTAAAAAAAAAACTAGTAAATTGTATAAGATGCTACAAAAAATAGCTTCAGAAGAATATTAACACAACAGAAATAAACTTTTTAAAATGAAAAATTAAAATGTCAAAAAATTACAACTGCATTTTTGACGCAGATAAACTCAAAACATTTTATAAAAAGAGTTACTTTACTGGCACTATTAATGGAGAACTAATGATACATTTACAAGCAACTGATGTCGATAACTTTGAAATTGTGATGTTTTTTTGTTACTCTCCATTCCGAGTTTACTGTGATACTTGTACTATGCTCAATAATGAATTTTGAACCTTGTTTGTCAGGCACATTCTGATTTTATAATAGAGTATGTCTAGGTGTAGTGTATGATTATAGGTGTAATAATCATCGTGTCGAGCGTGTGTATAATAACCAAAATAAAAATATTACTTTTTGTGACAAAAGACTTGTTTAAGACTATTCTTGTTAGTGTTACAAGAAAACACGCATAATTCACATGTCTTTCATAGAAAAAAAATCCTCAAAGACAGGAAAAAAAGGGAATTCCTTTCATTTAAAAAAAAAAAAATGTTAACTTTGTATATACAACTAATCTACGTTAAATATATTATTTTTTATGACAAAGAACTTGTTTAAATCTATTCCTGATCCAGATACAAGCATACATACTTCATATGCGTATCCTTCACATTATGTTTAAAAGTATAATTGATATGATAACCAAATTTATTAGTCGATAAAAGCATAATTTTGATTTCACTTGTGTACTTAAGAAGAAAAAAAAATGTATTAAAACAATAGCAGCTTTTTATCAATAAAGTAAAAAAAAATAAAAAAACCATTAATGAGAAAATTTTTTAGTGTACTCACTAACTCTTCCGCAGTATACCGAAGTTATTAACAAGAGGTGTTTAGTTTATAGGGGATATAACACAGACAAAGGAATGGGTCGTCCGGTTTAAAAACGGTCGTAGATCTGTGGACAGTGATACAACACAACACAAGTGTCACATATTCTGATCTACCTTCCAGCATCACAGTATGGTAAACAGTGTAACGTATGAGCTTGCATATGCTTGTGTTTCTGCACTAACAGAGAATTTGGGAAGGACCCACGTGTGTGCCAAATTAATTTGAAAATTGCTCTCGCTGGAGCGAAAAAGTTTAGTAGTAGCTCAATATAAATTTTAAATGGTCGCCAATCATAAATATAAGAAAATCTTAACTGGTAATAAGAGGTGAAAGAGTCAACAAAGGATTTTATGGTTATGTTCTAATAAGACTGTGATAGACAAAACGGCCCAGTTTTTGAGTTTTTCGTCACACAGTATATTCTAGACTCCAGACCTAGACTCCAGAGACCTCTATTATTAATAATGTAGTGAAAATTATTAAAAAAAAGTGCGAAAATGAACTCTAAATATTAAAATAAATAGTCGAAGATCAAGAACTGAGATACACTGAAGATGGAACAGTAAAGTGACAGTTTGCGTGCAAAAATAGATCTAGTGCGTCTGGCGCCAGGTGTAGTAACACCAAAGTTGGAGATATGATATAGGGGGTCAAGGCTTAACTTAGTCTGTAGCAGCATTAGAAGAACAAGAAGACAAAGGTATACAAACGAATGTTTCTTCTGTTTCCTTTGTAAAAGTAATTTATTTAACAGATGAATGCAATAATAGCCATAAAATAAAAATAAAAACTAAATTTCCGTTATTGTGTTAGAGAATTAAATAACTGACGGAAGCATGTTATATTAAATCGAATGGAGATTACTTCAAAGTATACCACGAGCTAGATGACGAAGAGAAACTCATTGTCATGAACAAAGATTGGATACTTTAGATCACCTTTTGGTTGACAATATGCCACTTCTACAAACACATATCTCGCAGCTCCTGGGTAGTTTTAGGGCCTGGTGTATGTCTTTAGATAAGTCATTTCGACAATAAAATACAGTGCTAGTCGACGTTGAGCATGAAACGCATAATATGATTTAGCACTACAATATGACATAATTTTACCATTTCTTTAAGAAAGTTATGTTTATTTTCATTTATTTATATTTTGCAAATATAAGCCTACAGCATCACAATTTTAAAGTAACCTATTCTTTAATTCTAAAATTGTGTAAAAAATGTGCTACAGACGTTTTGGTATAACTTTCAACAAAACCTAGTATGGACTTTATACACTCTACTTTCGTTTCTTAAAATTAACCTTTTATGATAAGCCTTTTGTAGGGGGTGTAACAACTGTCGCTACCTAAAACAAAAACAAAAACATTAGTATATTATAGCAGAAATCATAAGAGTTATAATAATAAAGCTTTCTGTGAGTCTCACTGAGTCCAAAGTGGTTCTGTCTAATGAGAACCCTTTATCACAGCTACTGAACTTTAGATGCTAAATAGTTTAGAAACTTTTACTGTAAAAAATATCTTCTTCTTCTTCTTCCTCTTTATAAGCAATTCTGCTTGTTCATTGGTGGATTAATACCTCTATGAAAGGTTGTTACTTCATCATCAATATGAGTTAGTGAAATCAGAAGGTCAATAAATGTTTGTATCCTATAAAAACGTACAGCTCAAAAAGAAGAAATTTTATTCAGAACGTCGAAAACGAATTTTAATCAGCATATTCAGCCTCTTCAGCTAAACAGCATATTCACAGAGCTCTTCTTCTTGTTGTGGTGGAAATATCATTCCAGACCTTCTGTAACTCATGTCTACCCCTCCATATGAGTTGGTTTGTTATATTCTTATTTATCTAAGTAAGGACACACTATATTTTTCAGCTGCTTGCCTTCAACTACATGATCCAGACCAAGCAACTTACGAGGCTGTTCTGTTTTTCTTCTATAATGTCTTACCATTATCTGTAACAAACCCAGAAACACGCATTAAAATTCGTAGGGGTATGTTGTGACACTGTCACAATGTGTCACAAGCCTGTCGTCACAACTAACCCCACCGTACGCCATTTTATATAATGCCACTCGTGTAGAGCTCGACACATCGTATAGAAACCAAATTGTCTTACTAGAGAGGAATAAACAAGCTATCTATTATAACTAAACTAACCTTTGGTTTGAAGCTTTAGGTGGACGCAAGGCTGAGTCGATTGTTGTCGCTTTATTAGAAGTAATAATAAAAGAAAGTGAGTCTCTCTTTTTGAATTTTGGACAGATAACTGTATATTTCAGATTAAAAATTGGATTGTATATACTTCCTTGATAACTGAACTTAATCGTTCTGCCGGACCTGATAAAATCGTTATAAAATATCTTATAAAGGGCTATACGTAATTTTTCTTCTTCTTTTTTTTGGCCTAAAGTAATCCAATTTTGGACATAGGCCTCCCCCAAATCAATCCAGTGTCTTCTATTTTGCGCGCTTGCTTCCAATTGTGTCTTCCGATCTTCTTAATGTCATTAGCTCATCTCATTTGTGGTCTTTCTCTGCTTCTCTTTCCTAACCATGGCCTCCATTGTTGTATTTCGTGGTTCCATCTCTTATCTTTCAGTCAAGCATTGTGTCCTGCGAAGCTCGATTTTAATTTGGCAGCATGTTCTTCTGCGTCTTTTACTTTAGTTTTGCTTTTAATCCATTTGTTTGGTTTTTTGTATATAAGTCTCACTCCGAGCATTGATCTTTCCATCGCTCTTTGTGTTTTTACTATTTTATCCATATTGGACTTGGTGAGTGTCCACGTCTGTGAACCATACATGAGTATAGGGAGGATACACTGATCGTAAATTCTGGTTTTCAAATACTGTTCTATTTTAGTGCTTTTTAAGATCTAACTCAGTTTTCCAAATCCTGCCCATACTAACCTTATTCTTCTGATAATTTCGGCAGTTTGATTTTCTTTATTAATTTTCATTATCTGTCCCAGGTAGATATAATCGCTTACTGTTTCTAAATTTTTGTCGTTTTAGAAGTTTGATCTTAAGCATTTCAGGCCTCGGTTCTTTTATATTATTTCATATTATTTCATTATTTCTACCTTGTTTTCATTATAGATCCTTAAATCTAACTTTACTCCCTTCTTTATTTGTTTATTTAATTCTTTGAAACCATTGGTGTTTCGCTTTCCTTCGCTTAGAAATGTGCGACTCTTTTTCATCAACGTTTTGTTCCTTCACTGTTGCTATACGCACATGTCTGCTGAATTCATGGCAATATTGATCAAAAAATATTTAGGAACAGAAATGTCTATGATTATCAGGAACTGAACGTGTAAACAACTCTAGAAAAAATGCAGAGGTACTTGAATTAAAAGAGTTTCACTTGTGGCAAAATAAAAAGAGGACAACAACTAAGAAACTATAGGATTCTTTAAAGTGTTTTATATTATAAAATATTTGTACATATAGTATACTCTCAATAAACATCAAATTCTGATTTTATATTTATGTTATTTAGAAAACATAATTGATGCATCCTCGATATGTTCCTCCTCCTCTTTCTTTTCTCCTTCGTAAGGATGTAGTGGCGTCGTGTAATATGGTTGACTATTTTGTGTCCAATTATCTCTCTTCTGTGTGTGTGTGTTCTGTCTTGATTCGGAGAATGAGTAATCAGTCATGTCCTTTATTTGGTCCGATCATCGTAATGAAGATCTTCCTCTGGATCTTTTACCCGTTACGTTCCCTTCAACTATCATTCGCTCCATGCGCTCTCTTCTTCTCGTTATATGTCCAAACTGTCTCAGTATATTTTGATTTATAGTTATGATAAGTTTTGCTAGAATTGAGGTATTTATACGATGGGCGTCATTACACGCTTTGAGTCGACTTTTTTTATGGTCCAAGTTTCTGAAACATAGCTGGCTATAGAAAATATCAATGCTCGAAAGAGGCGTAATTTTGTGTTTTTTGTGATGTCAGTGTTCTTCCAAATTTTTGTGAGTTTGGCTATTGCCGATCTGGCTATGGTGACGCGTCAACGGATCTCATCTTCGCATCCTTCATTGTTAGTAATAAGGAAGTCTAAGTAATTAAATTGTCTGACCACTTCGTAACCTGCCATGTTTCTTATCTCTGCCTGGTTGTTTCCAATTCTATCGACGACCATCACCTTGGTATTCTGCATATTTATTTTCTTCTTATTTAGATGTGTTTTCTTTTTGTTTTGAATTTGATGTACCGTTTCTTCTTGAGAATCTTCATGAGTCTAAAGTTTTTATTGGGAATGTTATTAAAAAACAAAAACTTATACTCATGAATCTCTTGGAAGATCTAGAGATATCCAAAGAAATGAAACTAAACCCTGATTGTTGCTTAAACACACAAATCAACCTCAATTGCAACTATAAACCTCTTTTTAAATTATTATGGGAGACTTTAGAGGAAGAAGGGTGACCTCATGCAATCTTATTATATATTTTTCATACTTTTATATTTTTAAACAAATTTTAAACTTTATTAGAAATTTATAACATTTTGTAATTCATTTGACAGTTATTCTTAATTGAAACATGAAAATACATTGTTAAAAAATTTTTTATGCAAATTTCTTACAATTTTCCATCAAGAGATACAATTCTCAATACACTTAAGTATCATATAACGTAACATTAATACCATGTTTCTTCTTTATATTGTTGTTGAACAATTTGAGCCCTTGTTTCTTAAGGATGGCTGTCAGATTGAACATACATTGACCTTGAGCAATGACTTGAGGGAATTTACAAACTAATGTCATTCTGTATGATGTGATGAACATATAAAATTTAATTTAAAAACTTAATTTTTAGAAAGTCTTTGATGACTATTAGTAATTCCAAACTACTAAATAATTTTGTAAGAATTTAAAAAACAATCTCTATTTCCTATATATGACATTTGTCAACTGTCACTTTTGAAAAATCGTTTAAAAGGACCGACATTTGATTTCATTAGTTCTATTCTGTCTACGTCCTCACATCAATCAATGGTCGGGTTCTTACACCCGTACCATGACAAAAATTTTTTTCAATTTTTTAACGTGTTTGTGAAGTCCAGTGTCGGCTTTTTATATGTTTTTTATATGTTTTAAGAATTTCAACACCTAAAAAAATCATAATTTTGAAATTTAAGGAAATGAGATCTCTCCTTTGTAGTGGTATTTAAAAAAATTGACGTAAGTTAAAAATTATAATCTTTACCAATTAGTACTTATAAGAACATTTTATTGTAGCATAGCTCTGATGATGGCTTTGTAAAGCCGAAAGCGCTCAGCTAGGAATTGCCTAAAATAAACACACTTCAAAAATACTTTTTTGCATTTTCTTTCGACTTGTCATAAGTGTGTACAAAAAAATATCAGTCTTTTGATTCTCATTCATTTCGCTTGTCTAAGCCATGCTCACCTGTTGTTCCTTTCAAATGGTCATCTATTTTTGTTTTTTCTATTATTACATTCCAATCTCCTATTATCATCATTTGTTTTTTAGGAATGTTAGAGATGGTTTCATGTATCAGCTGGTATGTTTCTTCTACTATATCTGCTGCTGCTTCGCATGTTGGCACATTACTTGCATAACATACATTTTGGCTGGTATAGCGTTTAAAGTTTTTTTGATTATTGCGAGCATTTACTGAAAAATATTGATGTACATATTTTGCACAACGTTTTTGAATTAATATTGCTACGCCTTTTTGTCCTGATTTGTTATCTCCTGGCATAAAAGCTGTGTAGTGAGTGGCCTCCCAATATCCTTGGCCTTCCCAGTGTGTGTTATATATCCCACAGATATCTATCTTCTCCTTGATCAGTTCATTTTGTAATATACACAATTAATCTGGCTGTAGCAGCCCCCTAAGATTCAATGTTGCGATGCGGTGTTTTTTACGTAATGGTAAGCTTGATCTTCCAGTATCCCATTTCGCAGATATTGCCTGGTCGTCCACAATAATCTGCTTGGTCACCCATTTCACACCATTCGACCCGGAATCGATATGGCACCGGTTGCTAGCCAGATTGCATAGAAAACAATGTTACACTAAGGAGCAATACAAATCTTTCAGGAGATGGAAGAGAAGAAGATCCTGAAAATATACTGGTCCAGTAGATTAACCAATACCAATTCAGAATTTTGGGAAAGAATAAAACAAGACAACATATCGGTTATGATGAAAAAGATATATTTGCTACACATTGACGAGAGACAAAAATAACGTAGCAAGACTAGTATTTAAATATCTTTTTTCCGAAAAAAAAACGAAAGCAAAATGTCTAGCAAACACGAAAAAATCTAATTAGGATCATAGAAGTAAAAAAC